CCGATTGGTAATTCAAACCTGGATTATAAAGCTGGCCAGAATTATGAAAATTGCACTGCGCAGCCTCAAAAAATGCCATCTCTAGGTATAGGTCAAGTTTGGTTTAATTAATTTGAATTTAAAATCTTAGATTTAAGCAGTCAAACTCAAACCACCAGTACTTCTACTTCCGATTTAAATGAGCCACTTGATACTAACGAAGAGTTCGATCATCCAATTAATCTCTTCACGGCAGAATGTCCCGTGTGATTAATTACCTCTTAGACGTACAGTAGCATGCAGTTCGAACTTCTCGAAGATAAATCAATTTGTAATAAATCACTTATTATGATTTCATATAAGATCTTAAATTATAATGATCTAATTTTGATTTGTGTTTATTACAGATGCTGGTGAATGGTAGTGAAATTGGTGAAATTTAATATAGCAGCCAATCAGATTTAGATAGCCACCAGCTTCACCAGTATTATTAATTTCACCAGCAACTATAGTGCTTACATTGATGACTTTGCTTTACACTAGACGATTAAGTGTGGATTAAGTAAAATCGCGAAAGTCAAAATCCCGAAATTTAATCATCGCGTCGGTGATGCCGTTTTAAACTCCGCTTATGCTTAGTCTTCATGATAAGCAGAGTTTGAACCGGCATCACGCGATGTGATAATTAATTTTCAGGATTTTGACTTTAGGGGTTTACATAGACCCAGTAGAGAATAGAGTTGGGGCACGGCAAATTTTTGAGGCATGCCCCCTATAAATATATATCATATATTATCGTAATTAGGCTTTAATCCTAATTGGCCAATTATATAATATTTATAGTTCTATATCACATGATAGGGGCATGCCTCCCAAGAGAAATCTAGTCATATAGTAAAAATTGAAGATTCAATTACACTTCATGGATAGGCAAAGTAATTTCATAACTTATAATTTATCCCTTACTTAATATTAAGCAATATTAAGAAGAAAGAATATGTAATAATTTTGCCATCAGCATGTGAATGTCAGTGAGGGAAAATTATAATCGTAAGATTCTATAGTGTCTTTTTCTCATATTTTTCGACTGTCATATTTATATTTATTGAAATCGGTAAAATGTTTAAAATCTGCAGAATCTCCGATTCTTTTGCAAAGCACAATATTAACATTATGGTATTAGTGTTTCAAAATTAACAAATAAAAATGGCACATTTCGAAAATAAGTAGGATATTTTTTAATTGTATTTTCACTATGCTGAATTATTAATTTTAAACCTCTGATCTTAAAATTCGATTGGTCAAAATTACATGAGTGACCTATTTTTTGTGTGAGGATAGGTACATATGTAACACAAATGTAGGACGTGATAATTTTTGACTAAAAATGCTTCATTCATAAATACCGAGGCCTAGCAGTTAGAGTTAGAGTGTCCCCTAATAAATATTTGCGCACACATTGTTTTTAGTATAATGGAGCAAAATGGAGCCGACAGGCGTAGCGAAGCGATCAAGAAATTCTTAAAAAGTCTGCCAGTTGAATCTAAGTGTTGATGCAAGGGATTTGTACTACATTCGCTATAATCACAGATGTATTATAAATGCGATTATATAAAATTGTAATATAAATGGGCTCACGATTGTTCAAGTGTCCCAAATCATATAAGATGGTACTGTTAGTTAATTTATTGTATTTTTGACACAGAAAACTAGATAATGCTGAATAACAACACTATAAGTTTTTAGTATCTCTTTCCAGGAATTACTAAGAAATTTTAGTGAGTACAAAAACTGTTTCAATACGTATCGCAAGTGGTAAAGCAATTACACAACATATGATAAGAACCATTACACAATGCTAAGTCATGAAATTTGCATTTTGCATACATACTGTACGTTAATAAACTTGATACTTACAAATCATTTTTTCCAGAAGAAAAAAAGATGTTGAATGAAAACCAAATATACGAAGGTGATAATAATTCAAAAGAATTCCTTAATGAAATTATCGAAAAATTATGTAGTATATATGACGAAGAAAGAAAGAAAGGCAAAGATATGGAGTCTGTTATAAATATAATGAATAATTTTTTAGTAAATATGAATCAAAAACCAGATAATATATTCGATTTTCTTTTAAATCATCAAATTAATCCTATAATTCAAATTATTCTTGCAAATTGTTATCGGTTTGGTAAATGGGTTGAAAAAGACGAAAATAAGGCATTCATTCATTATCAAAAATCTGCCGACTTAGGTTATTTTGATGGAATATATGGACTTGGTGTCTGTTATTGCGAGGGAATTGGTGTCTCCCAAGATGAGAATAAAGGATTTATTTATTATAAACAATCTGCTGATATGGGACATCTTGATGGATTATTTAATGTTGGCTACCATTATCAAAACGGAATTGGTGTTGAAAAGAATGATTATATAGCATTTATTTATTATCACAAATCTGCTGAAATGGGTGATGCTGGTGGAACATTTAATGTTGGATTTTTTTATGACAACGGAATTGGTGTTAGAATGGATAAACATAAGGCTTTTGTTTATTATCAAAAGTCTGCTGAGATGGGTGATTCTGATGGAATGTTTTATGTTGGCCAATGTTATCTTTACGGAAATGGTGTTGAAAAGGATGAAAATAAAGCATTCGTCTATTATTATAAATCTGCTGAGATGGAACATGTTGATGGTATATATAATCTCGGTTATTGTTACCTAAAAGGAATAGGGATTGAAAAGGACGAACATAAGGCATTCACTTATTTTCAGAAATCTGCCGAAATGGGGAATGTTGATGCAATGTTTACGGTTGGAGAATTTTATCAAAATGGAATTGGAGTTGAAAAAGATGAATACAAGGCGTTTAATTATTATCAAAAATCTGTAGAAATGGGAAATTCTGATGGAATATTTAATCTTGGAGTTTGCTATAGTGAGGGAATTGGAGTTGAAAAGGATGAATACAAGGCGTTTTATTATTATCAAAAATCTGCTGATATGGGAAATATTAAAGGAATATTTAGTCTCGGGGTTTGCTATCGTGATGGGATTGGAGTTGAAAAAGATGAATTTAAGGCGTTTTATTATTATCAAAAATCTGCTGAAATGGGAAATTCTAATGGAATATTTAATCTTGGAGTTTGCTATCGTGACGGGATTGGAGTTAAAAAAGATGAATGTAAAGCGTTTATTTATTTTCAAAAATCTGCTAATTTGGGAGATGCTGATGGATTATATAGTGCTGGTGACTGTTATAGACGTGGAATTGGAGTCGATAAAGATGAAAGTAAAGCATTTATTAATTACCAAAAATCTGCTAGTATGGGATATGCTGAAGGAATGTATAATATAGGCTTTTGTTATCAAAATGGGATAGGTGTTGAAAAAGATGAACAACAGGCATTCAATTGTTATCAAAAATCTGTCGAAATGGGAAATACTTTTGCAATTGACACTATTGGATTTTGTTACTATTTGGGAGTTGGAGTTGAAAAGGATGCATATAAAGCATTTATTAACTACAAAAAATCTGCAGAGATAGGTAGCACTAATGGAATAATTAATCTTGGTTATTGTTATTTAAATGGAATTGGAGTTGAAAGTGATGAATATAAAGCATTCTCTTGTTATCAAAAATGTGCTATTATGGGAGATGAAGAAGGAATAAATCGAGTTGCTCATTGTTATCGAAACGGGATTGGAGTAACAAGAGATTTGCAAAAGGCTAATTATTGGTATCAAATGTAAATAATTTTTGTTTGTTTTGTTGTTACTGTATCAGGTATATATATTTTTTGTTAAATGGTTGAATCATTATTTAGGCAAAGAAATACCGAATCAGGTAAAAAAAAAAAATCATTATAACTAATTCAATTAATATTGTTCAATATTAATTATCTTTATTATTTACTAGCTAAAAATGAATGGGCAATCAAAAATTCTCATATTGACGATGATTTAAGAAGTTTTTTGATCGAGACCAAGTATCAATTGTCATGGATCCCTTATAATGAGTTTGAAAACATTAGTGAGGTAGGAAAGGGTGGGTTTGGAACTGTATATTGTGCACAATGGAATAATTATATCAAAAATTTTGTATCAACTGTCGCACTTAAAATTTTTAACGGTTCCAAAAGTAATAATGAAGAATTTATTAAAGAGGTAAATTTTATTCAATCCTTTTATTATTTGATAATGATTTAGATTAATATTTGGCTACAATTTTTTTATAATAATAAGTTAAAGGCATACTGTGATATCGGTGTTAAAAATCCAACTTTTCTACGATGTTTGGGTATTTCAAAGGACAAAGATTCCAAAGACTATATCCTTGTTATGCAATTTAAGTCAGTGGGTTCTTTACGTAAAAATCTTTATAATATGTCAAAAATGGAATGGAATAAGAAATTAACACTTTTAGAGTGCATTGCTTCTGATCTTTGGATAATTCATTCACAAAATCTTATTCACCGAGATTTACATAGTGGAAATATATTGCTAGAAAATTTTCATAGTGCATATATTGTAGACTTGGGACTTTTAACATTAGCTAACACAGAGTCAAATAATAAAATATATGGTATAGTCCAATATCTAGCACCAGAAGTGTTATATAAAAGAGAATACAGTATGGCATCAGATGTGTATTCTTTTGGAATGATTGCATATGAAATAGTATCAGGTCTTCCGGCATTTCATGATTTTTCGGATAATATCCAACTGTCTCGTGTTATTGTTTTTAATGGTATACGTCCAAGCATTCCAGCAAATGTGCCAAATTTAGTTGCTGAATTGATTATTAAATGTTGGAATGCTCAGCCGGACAAAAGACCGACTTCCAGAGAAATATATGAAGCTTTAAACAAATGGAATAGTGAAATTTCAAGTAATAAATCAACAGAAATCGTTACCCAAATAAGGAAAGCTAATGAAATGCTCAAAGACAACATGTCAACAACATTATCTTACATTGATACATTTTCCGATGAAATTTATTTCGATCCTCTAGAGATTGTAAATTTAGGTAATAATCATAATATTACATATAATATTGCTTAATCATTTTTCAATGTTATCTTGTAAAATATTTTTAACAATCATAATTATATTGAACAGATGAAAGCCAAGACGAACAAATCATCATAAACTTAGGTATTCATTATGTAATTATAATATAGTAAATATATTTTCAATATTAATATTGTTAAATATATAGTAACAATAATAATTATATTAAATAGAAGAAAAGCACGCCAAAGAAAATAGTCAAAGCCTGATAATTGTGGACCCATTTGAAATTTCGAATGATTATAACAATGTAGTTGAAAAAAACCAACTCATCCAAAATCAAAAATTAGCTCAATTTGATATTAACAAACAATTCGATTGCTTGAATGTAATAAGTATAGGTAATTATTTATTAATGATAAAAAAATATCACATTCAATATTTTTTAATTTTAAATTATATTTTAATAATATTAATTATATTGATTTGAAGAAAAGCAACATGCACGAACTAGCCAAAGTCTGATAATTAAGAATTTATTTGATATCTTCCATGATGATATAAACGAAATTGAGAAGGATCAACTTGTTCAAAAGCAAAATTATACCGAAGTTGAGAATATAAATGATATATTTCGACTTGGGCAGCTTTATATTTTGGGTTATAAAATCGAAAAGAATGAAAACAAGGCATTTATTTATTTTCAAAAATCTGCTGAGATGGGACATGTTAAAGGAATGTATCTTGTTGGATATTGTTACCAAAATGGAATTGGAGTTGAAAAGAATAATTATAAAGCTTTCAGTTATTATCAAAAATCGGCTGAAATGGGTGATTCAGATGGAATGTTTCAAGTTGGTTATTGTTATCAACATGGAATTGGAATTGAAAAGGATAATCGTAAGGCATTTATGAATTATCAAAAATCCGCTGATATAGGAAATGCTGATGGAATATGGGGTCTTGGCAATTGCTATGATTACGAAATTGGAGTTGAAAAGGATGCACATAGAGCATTCATTTATTATCAAAAATCTGCAGAAATTGGAAGTTCCATTGGGGCAAATGATCTTGGCACCTGCTATCAAAATGGAATTGGAACTGAAAAGGATGTATATAAAGCATTTATTTACTATAAAAAATCTGCCGACATGGGGAATGTTATTGGAATATATAATGTTGGTTATTGTTATTATGATGGAATTGGCGTTGATAAGGATGAACATAAAGCATTTATTTACTACCAAAAGTCTGCGGAGATGGGAGATTCTGAAGGAACAATTTCTGTTGGTCATTGTTATCTTCATGGAATTGGTGTTGATAAGGATGAACATAAAGCATTTATTTATTACCAAAAGTCTGCGGAGATGGGATATTCTGAAGGAACATTTTTTGTTGGGCATTGTTATCTTCATGGAATTGGTGTTGATAAGGATGAACATAAAGCATTTATTTATTACCAAAACTCTGCAGAGATGGGAAATGCTAATGGGATGTTTCAAGTTGGATATTGTTATCAAAATGGGATTGGGGTTGAAAAAGATGTTCGTAAAGCATTTATTAGTTTTCAAAAATCAGCAGAAAATGGACATGTTAATGGGCTATATCAACTCGGTATTTGCTATAAAGATGAAGTTGGAGTTGAAAGAGATGAATATAAAGCATTCACATATTTTCAAAACTCTGCTGAGCTAGGTCATGTTGATGGAATGTTCCAAGTTGGTTATTGTTATCAAAATGGAATTGGAGTTGTAAAAGATGAAAATAATGCATTTATTTATTATCAAAAATCTGCTGAAGTCGGAGATGTTGATGGAATATATCATCTTGGTAATTGTTATAAAGATGGAATTGGAGTCGAAAAAGATGAATATAAAGCATTTACCTATTATCAAAAGGCTTCTGAAATGGAACATGATGATGGGACATATAGTCTTGCACTTTGTTATAATAATGGAATAGGAGTGGAAAGAGATGATTATAAAGCATTTACTTATTATAAAAAATCTGCAGAGATGGGACACGCTGATGGAACGCATAAACTTGCTCTTTGTTATGATAATGGAATTGGAATTGAAAAGGATTATCAAAAATTTTCTGAAATAGAAAATGTCAACGAAACATAAATAAACTACTTATATCTTTTATGAACACAATAAGTATTGTAACCAATCTTAATATTAGATAATAATAAATTAATTTCCTAGTTTTCATGACCTGTTCAGATTGGATCTAAAAACTTGAATTTTTTTTTTTAAATATAAATTTTTATAGCAAATGGTTCTTACAGTCTTTATTGATTACTGCTAAAATTATAACTAGTCAAGTAGCAAAATTTGAAAGCTGAATTAAAAAATTCTATTTTTATTTAACATATAGAGAATTTTTAATTTGATATGTGCTTGTTGGCATTTTTTAATATACTTGCATATATATACGCAGTATCCAAATAGAAATTGCCTAAATATATTTATTTTCAAGTTGCAGGAAGTGAAGAATTGTATATATTGTATTTATAAATGTGATAATAAACTTTGATTAAAGTTATATATTTAATAGCCGAAAATCATATGATTCGACAAAGAACCAATATGTTTGATGAGTAAATTCCTTATTAAGTTTAAATACAGATAGTGCAATGGTATATTGAATGCCATGAACAAATGCACTTTTTAAATTACTGTAATCGTCACCAAGCAAAAATCCACAAAATTTCTTTTAAATTCTTTATTTTTTAGAAATTTACACCAAAAAAAATATTTCAAAGATTCCTTGCTGAATACAAATTTTAGTATATCTATTATTTTATTTGAACTTTCAGTTGGTTGACCAAACAATAAAATTTTTTAGTTTTTTAGCCACCCTTTCATAAATTTGAACGAAGAAATCTTACTAATACTCTGTTTATTTTCAATGTTCAAAGCTATCTGTTGCGTAGGAATAGTAGTACCTCTCTCTACCTACCTACTGCGTATAAAATAAAGAATGAAAATTTGGTCTTAAAATGAAAAAAAGTCTCTAGATTATTTACTCATAATAACGAATAATAACTATATATTTAGTGAATTAGCCAGTATAAAAGATTTTAGAGTCTTTTACTAATCTGAAATATTTCATATTCATCCACCGAAAAATATGATACTCCATTTTCGTACGTAGATGCATCTCTAATTTTGTTTTCATATGACTTTTGACAACTACAACATTTACGATCTTGATCAAAATTCTTCGACATAAGTAAATCAATGTCCCATCCATATGAAGGACTACAAATAATTGCATTTTCTGGTTTTTTTACACGACTTAAAATAGATTTTTGAGTTATACTATCTTTCAATGAAAAAATAAAGATATTCTTGCACTTTTTAAAGGATCCCAACAAGGAGAAGGAATCCGGTTATCCCACCCAATATGGTTATATCCACCAAGGATTTCATCAATTCCTTTAACCTTTATAACTATTACAAGATGCGTTTTCTTGTTGCATACTTTCCAAAATGATATATCAGTAAAACCATCTCTAGTTCCACGAAGCAATAATTTAAATTCGTACGGATTATTTGCTGCAGAATATGCAACAGCTTTTTTACCAACCCATGAAGCAATTTCTGCTGCATGTACTTCATTAATGACTGTTGAAAATAGCGGAAGAATTTTTGTTGATATTGGTTCATTTGGAGACATAAATTTTTTCATTATATCTTTCCAAAGATTTTTTTCAAGAATTTGTTGATATGGTTGTACATTATTACAAATGTTATAACCAGACATCTGAAAATAACGGATAAGAGGCAAACAATTTTGTAAAGAAGTCTTCAAAGCAAGAAAATTTTCATGGGACAAATCTTCAGGACCAGAGGTAAGCTATAGTTTTGGGCGATTCCCAATGGATAACACGATCCCAAATTTTTACTTCTTTTTTGCAAATCATCACGACCAATAAGTGAAACTAGTGTATTCTCCTGAAGTGTAGTGAAGTCTTCAGAATCAAATATCTTATAAGGATATCTTACTACAATTTCATTGCACCATTTTCGTAATTCTTGAAGCTTATTATTCCGAAGACTTTTTTTGATAAATGGAAGCAAAATGTAAGCGAAGCCAATGTGCTCCTGTTTCAATTAAACGAGTCTCAAGATATTTAGCTAATTCTTCGAAAAGAAATTCATAAGCAAGAAGCATAAGCTCAAAAATAAAGGATGGATTTTGGTTTTCAAGCAAGAATTCCGAAAGAAAAATAAATGAGCATAAAAGACCATTAAGATGGAAACAAAAATTTGGGTAAAGGTCTGAGACTTTCCAAAGGTAAAGTGTGAAGTAATCTTAACCGGTTGAATCGGTTGGCATAAAATATTTCGGTTCAAATCATTACCATAGATATAACTTTACATAAAATTAAATTATATTTAGAGTTCTTGCAAAACGATATAAGTTTCATTCATGCATAAAATAGCTTACATGATGATAATTTCAAATTATTGTACAATAACATTTTCCAAATAAAGAGTTTTAATATTATTCTTACATGTTTTGATATTTGTTAATTCATTACGAAAATATGAAGTGTATTCTAAAATTGCTGAATGTGCGTGGAATATTTTCCGACATTAATAATTATATTAAAGTCTTGCCATCATCAAGAAGTTCAAGATAATTATTTGAAAGGTTTTCAAAAAAATTTTATTGCCATTAGAAAAAATAAGTGAATAAGTATAAGAACTTTAACAATATCAACTATTAAAAATTGTCTGATATTTAACGTAAAAAAAAGTTAATTCGAAATGTTTAGACTTTTCGTTGTGTAACATAACACGTATGTACGTACGTATTGTGATACCGGAATTTCGTGACCGATCACGTGAAAAATGCACGAAAAGCAATAAGTGCAATAAGTGCAATAAGTTACATTTAAGATCGGAATGGTATTTTGGATCCAAAGGGGTATTTAGGGGATAAAGAGAGGAAATGAAGGATATTAAATATATACGTGTAAATAGTTTAATTAGTTTAATAGATAAGTCGCATTTGTGAGCGACGAATTCAGTATTATGAATAAAGGCCGAAATGGCCCTTAAGAGCAGTACGCTTCGTTTGCTTAATTAAAATACAAGTCCCAATACATTATAACGTCTATAATAAAATGCTAACACTATACCCAGTACAAACCCTGTAAAATCCATAAACTTCGTTATTCGTTTGAGTTCTTGTTCACGTGACTTACCCTACTTGTATTCGTTGACCCAAAGTAACCGAAAGCCTTAATCACCCACCAACCAAATCTAACACCCTCTTACGAAAAGGTTACTTATCGTACGTTACACGACATTTTGAATTGTGGAGCGACGAGTCGCAGTTATCCGAACCCAACAGTATGCACAGTACATTTGACGCATCATTTATCAAAGTTGTTAGAGATTTATGGATAAATTGTGATTAATTAATTATTCAATTATGCACAAAAAAATTCTGTGCCAGGTTTTGTCGATCATTATGGCGCAGATCGTCGATTTACAAATCATATTTCA